ATCGCTATTAGTGCACAAGTATCACAGTGAGGAGAACTTGTGTCGCTGCGGCCAGGTCTGCTCTGGGAGCCGTGGTGGCAGAGAGTACACTCGGGTTCAGTGAACTGTCTGCGTCCCCGCCCCTCCCCCCAATTCAGTAGCTGCAGTGCACTCAGCCCGGCTGTAACATGGTTCTTTCTGCCACATTCATCTTGCTGAATCACCTTATCCCCATGCTTGTAGCCACACTACGTTCAGAAGGAAGTGAGCCTGCGATCCTAGCTGAAATGCAGGTGGGCTGTGAGTGGCTGAGTGTCGCTGTCCCTCTCAATGGTGCTGCAGTCCTGGGAGGCACAGCTTTCACACGCTGCATACCAGTCTTGTCTCTTCCTGAGCAGCCTCGGCCTTTCCTCATGTGCTGGAAGGTGGTGCAGGCATAACCTTGGGTTGGGTGCGCTCTTCCAGGGAGCAGATGTGAGGCAAATGCCTGTGGGATCCGCCACAGCCACCTAAAGAGGAGTGAGTAACTGTCACATTCTCCCTGGCTGCTTCTCTCGTCTTCCACAGAAATGGTTAAAATTTGCCATCTCCGTATTGTTTCTAATAACAAATCATTTTCTGACATTCAAAGGAAGGCTTTCTATGAATCTTGCATAAAAAATAACATCTGCTTTAGTCGCAAGCCTGCTTATTGAAAGCAGAGAATTTGAAATCTGTAACTGTATAGCAAGGTACCCCCAAACTTAATTGGCTTAAACCAACACTATTTTATTATTGTTTCTCACAGATGTGTGGGCCAGGCATTCAGACAGGCTGCTTGTCAAGAGCGAGGCAGCTTGTCTCTGCTGCAGGTGTCCGGAGCTCCTGCTGGAGACCGGAGGTCATCTCCGTGTGGTCTCTCTAGAGTGGCATCCTCGGGGCAGTTGCACCTCGTACACGGTGGCTCAGGAGGCCCAGGCTTGCAGGGCTCCTCGCCCTGCCCTTGGCGATCCCAGAATGTTCCTTCCCTTATTCCGCTGTTCATGTGAGCCTCGAGAGTGAGCCCCAACCCGCTAGCTGGGGAATTAGATCCACCTTTCAGCGAGAGGGGTATCAACGTATTTTTAGCTATATTTAATCTCCCACAAAACCTTAATAGGACGTTGTTGTATAGTAATGTTAGCGATTCTCCATCTCATTTGATGAATGTACAGACATCTGAAGAAGTTAGTACATATTTAAAAAGCTGAGGCAGTCTTAATTTCTGCTTTTTTTTTAGACTACAGATTGCCTTGGTATTTTTTAAATTTATTTTGAGATAGAGAGCGTGAGAGGGGGAGGGGCAGACAGAGAGGGAGACAGAGCATCCCAAGGAGGCCCCGCACCGTCAGTGCAGGGGCTCGAACTCCTGAACTGTGAGATCATGACCTGAGCTGAAGTCAGACGCTCAACCAACTGAGCCACTCAGGCGCCCCCATCTTGGTATTTTTTAATTTAGTCTACATCAGGGGACTAGAGGAAACATGTAGAAGATTGGTAAATGAGCTAAAATAAACTCCCATCTACAGTTTGACTTTTGTTGAAGTAAAAGGAGGCCAGTGTGACCTTTGTTCTCATGGTATGTTACCAGAGAAGAGTGTCTGTCCAGCCACTTGACTCAGACTTTCCCTACGTTTGAGACCTTGCACGTCTATCGTTGAGAAGGACATACACGTATGAAACAGATCTGAGTAATCTCCGGGACGAGCGAGCTGTCCAGCCCGCCTGCGTTACGTGGCGTGGATTTGAGCTAACCAGGAGCTCTTAGTGCTGGCCTGCCGTAGACAGAAAAAGCTTTACTCGGATGAGTTACAGAAAGAAGAGCATACACAGCTTAATGTATTTTGTGTTCCCATGCATATTTTTGCAGGTTTAGAATTTTTAAACTTCATCTTCTTAATCCAAGCAGAGAAAAATTCTCCACTTGTCACTTGGTCCTCACACTTCCATCTAACTAGTCTTTGTAGAATGCCAATTCTGGCATGACATCTATCGCATGTTTTCCTGGGAATCTGAACTTGATAGAACGAGTGGGTGTAATTCCTCTATAAGATTCCGTTAAGCCAGTAGTTGTCAGATTTTATGGCACCCTCCCCCCACTCAGTAAAGGAAGCATACGTGACATGTGGCAGTGGGAGACAGCAGAATGGAGAGCCATTCACTGTTGAGATTGGTAAACTTGATTTTGACCTCTATAGCTCATGAGACATTAGATTATAAAATTTATAATTTTATTATTTTAATAAAAATTTAAATAGTTTCTAAACTTAATCTAAATGCTCTAAATGGTTTTATAGTGCATGCTGACATTTGCAAGGGGTGGAGCTTAATTAGTAGGTATTTCGTGGGTTGATGAACTTATGTCCTTAGATAGAAACTCAAGCTCTATTTTTCTCCCTAGGTTATTAAATAAGAGGCCTTTTCTTGGCTGTAACTTCAGACTTTGAAAATGTGATTTTGATTGTGAAGCAGACTACTTTCTCATGTTTATTTCATATTATTTCTAGAGGCAACATAATAAAATTATTTTAAACATTTTTTATTTTTTCTTGTAAAACACATAGAACATAAAATTTGCCATTTTAACACCTTTTTGAGTATACAATTCAGTAGCATTAAGTCCATTCGCATTATTGTGCAGACATTGCCACTAACCATTTCCAGAACTTTTCCTTTATCCCAGCTGAACCTCTATATCTGTTAAGCAAATACTCCTCTAACCCCTTCTTTTACTCTAGGCCCTGGTAACCACTATTTCTTTCTTTTTATTAAAAAAAAATTTTTTATTGTTTTATTTTTGAGAGAGGGAGACACAGAGAATCTGAAACAGGCTCCACGCTCTGAGCTGTCAGCACAGAGCCTGATGTGGGGCTCAAACCCACGAACTGTGAGATTATGATCTGAGCTAAAGTCAGACGCTTAACTGACTGGGCCACCCAGGCTTCCCCCAGTAACCACTATTTCTGCTTTCTGTCTCTGATTGTGACTGTTCTCAGTACTTCATTTAAATGGAATTATACAATATTTGTCCTTTTGTGCCTGGCTCATTTCACTTAGTATAATGTCCTCAAGATTCATCCATGTTGTAACACTTGTTTTTTAAGCTGAATAATACTCGGTTGTGTGTATATGCCCCATTTTGTTTATCTGTTCACCCGTCATGGGGCATTTGAGTTTCTACCTTTAGGCTTTTGGGAGTGATGCCTCTATGAAAAAATTATTTGTTCAAGTCCTCGCTTTCACTTCTTTTGAGTATACACCTCGGAGTGGAATTGCTGGATCATGTGGTAACTGTTTAAGTTTTTAAGAGACTATGCTGTGCTGTTTTCCACCGTGGCTGCTCTGTTTTGTACATCCTTGCCAATAGTTGTTGTTTTCTGTGTTTTTGGATAATAGTCATCTTAATAGGTGTGAAGTGGTATCTCATTGTGGTTTTGATTCCATTTCCCACATGAAACTTGTGTTTTGCATATTTTGCTTTTGTATTTGAAAGTACTATTTTTAATTTATGAATCACATATGAGCAATGTAGAAAAATATCCTATAAAAAATGGTCGACGTAGTCCACTGAACTTCTTCCAGCTAACATAGGTATTTGAGAGGATTACAGTGCTTTATTTATATTGATTTGTGAAGTCTTTACAGCAGCGTTAGGCCAGTGTGGTTTTGGTCCTTTGCAGTAAATTATTATATGGTCTGGAATAGGATATAGGTAAGTTTGTTGTTGTCAGAAGAATTCTTGTGTCTTCCTTTTTAAAATCCGTAATTTTGAAAACTGGTGAATGCCATCATGTTAAGTATTTTGGAAGTTCGATGTTGATGAAGAGATCTTTGCTTTCCTTCTCATTAAGTGGTTCTGAGGAGACAAATACTTATTTCTTTGGGTTTCTACAGGAAGACGAACTAGAAAGCTGAAGCTTAGCTCCCAGGAGGATCTGATGCGATGTTTTATTCCCAGAAATAGAGCTGTCACTGGCAGCCCAGACCGAGGGTCAAGCTGGCACGCAGGGTTAGACAGCAGAACAAAGTATTTTCGTTAGGATTCTTGGGAGGTGTGGGTCTTCATTCCAAAATTTACACAATTTTTAAAAATTATTTTATAGTATTTATTTCAGATTTATGCAATTGTAATGGTCTCTTGAAATGGAGGTGGCTTTGGTCTGAGTAGTATTTTGAGATTCTGAACGTGAAAGGGGTAAGATGTGAGCTGTGATAAAGAAGTGTTACAACGTTGTTTTATTTTTTGGCTTCGTCTGCGGGTTGTAGTAGCAGTGGTCCTGGGGAGCCGTGTGCAAGGTCAGCAGGCCTTTCCGGTCCCAAGCAGCCGCTCTCCTAGGAGGAGGACTTCTTAAGACTTCCTCCACTTCGCGGAGGACGGTGATGGGGCTGAGCAAACTCTGCGCACCCGGTTGCCGTTAGGTGGCTTAACGTTACTAACTTACTACAGCAAACACACTGTCCACACACATTCTTGTTCAGGAAGATCTGGCAGACATTGATACTAACTAACCTTCTGTGAAACTTTTTCCTACCAGAGTCATCTTGTTAGATTATCACTAAAATCAAGTAGTGAATAAAAATTGCTTAGTAATTAATGTAAAAAATACAATTCCTACGTATATGGAGGGTTAGCATAAAGGAGAACATCTTTTATATGTGTTCCTTTGATTCTGGTCACTTTGGTTAGAATTGACATCATTGGGAATTCCAAGTAATAATGTGCAATATGTCCCAAGAAAACGGGGACAGTAAATATTCTAATTGATAGAATGTTACTATAAAATGAAGAGAACTACTGATGCTTCTCCTTTTCCTTACTCGTGACTACCTTTTACAGTTTGTGCCTGTCTGCCCTTAATGTGTAATCACCTATTTGATCTCTAACAATTGCGGTTAAGATAGTTTCTGTTAAAAGTAGAAGACCTTACTCTTGTTTATTTGTGTGGAGGTGTCTATACTTAGTCTGTGCAGTGGATGAACACATGCCCCTCTTTCTTCCCCAGAGGGACTCCGCGCACGGTGACTACCCGCAGAGCGAGGAGGCCCGTGTGCCAGAACACGCCCTGATACCTCCCGATGGACTTCCTGGGGCACCGCACAGAGCCCAGCGAGAAGGTATGTTTGTGCCCACCTTCCGGGGGAGGCTGCAGAGCGCTCTTTACACTGGTGAACTCGAACTCCTCTCTCCCTTTTTGGAATAGAGAAACCCCACAGGTCCTAGGTTTGGCTCAAACGCCAGTTCCCCACTTTTTTGAGTCTGCACCTGGGCTCCTGCTTGGCAGCACTTGGCCCAGCCTGGCTCGTGCTGACCTGGTTCTGCCTCGCGGTCAGTTGTCTTAAATCTAGTCACCACTTCCGGAGGGCAAAATCCTAAATATGTTCCTAAAGTACTAGGGATTGTGCTTTATCTGGAGAATGTGCTCAGCATCTACTGAGAAAATAAACTTTGCGGAAGTTCATCGTAAGAAAGTGAAGCGATGCCTTACAAGTCTCTGTCCCCTGCGGTGATGCAGTTTCATGGAGGCCTGGGGTGGCGGGGTTGAAAGGACATTGTCCTCTGTGAAGAAATGAGTTCACATACTCACTTCTCTTCATATTCGGAGAGTCCGTTACCCCGAGGGAATGATTGTTGAGGGGAAGATAGAAATGGAAAGCGTAGATGCCACTCGGGCAGCCTCGGATGTGTGCGTCCCACTCGCTTATAGCAGCTTCGCACTGACACCGTTTTGTCTCCTTTCAGTCCCATCAGTAATCCTTCTTGTGTTCTGCGTTTTTCCTCATGCAGGAAAAATTAGGTATGAGTGCTTAACATTTAAAAAAAGTTTACGTAATTTCCTGTTCAGGCCATTCAAGACCGTTAAACCATAGATTTATGGAACCATAGGAACCATAGATTCCTTCAACCAGGCTCGCTGCATCCGTGAGTGACCTAAAGCAGAGTTTGCTTTCACACTGAAGGTCTTTTTTTGTTTGTTTGTTTAATTAAAATATTTTAGAAGAACAAAAGACTACATCCGAATGCTAACAACCCAGCCCATAACGTGGTACTATAGATGATTTTTCTTATGTTTTTTATTTTTAAACAAATGTATGTAATCTGTGCGTCTTAGTTTTAATGCATGAGGGTTGAAGGGTCTCTTGTCACCAGCCATTTCGCACTGTACTGTCGTCTTCCTCCTCTTGATTCGATCGGTCATGAGAGGCAGGGGTAACTTGAGACCAAGGCTGAAGACCCGGCCATGTTCCCTTACACGTAATGCCCTGGCGGTCCCCTGCCCCTTAGCCCGCTGATTGCAGAAGTGGAGCTGCTTTGTATTTCCGAATATACATCCATTCAGATGGGTTTTATTAAATAGCATCGTCCCTTAAAAAAGTTATTAGAAAAGTGGCAGACCCGACCCTCCCATCCCCTCCCCTCCCCTCCCCCTTAGCCACTTTTGTGCTGCTGCTGTTCAGGAGTTTCCGGTTGCACCTGGCCTTTGAGAATTTCTTTTGTTTCCACCCTCAACATTTCTCACCTACTGAGGGGGAATTATTGGAGAAGCAGGCCACCAAAAGCTATATATTTGGAAGGTTGGCACAAAATACTGGTAATGGTATCTCCTCAGTCTGTTATGAATGCTTATCAGCAAATTACCGTACCTTATGTTTCCTGCTTTCTCATTGCCCACTGTCCCTGATCTAGAACAATCTTCATTCTTCCTGTACGTTTCTGTTACTTTTTGTCTTCTGCTTCATTTATTTTAACTTCTTCCTCTCCAAGTAGATCCCTTCCTTTCCTTCTCCATCTCCCATCCCCTGAATTTAACACTGACTTCAGTCTGTGGAGTCATTCTCCTGATGTCTTCCCTGTGACCTTTATCATGTTCATTACTGCCAGTCTCCGTATTGCTTAAGTGCTGTTTCTTCTATTTATACCCTGAGCAACAGTTTTTTTTTTCTCTCCCTTAAGTCGTTATATTATGGTTAGTAGACTGGCTCTTTTCAATTTGTAAAGAGATTTACTTCCTGAAAGATGATGTTTTTATTTAATTTAAGAATAATTTCATGTTTATTTTTGAGAGAGGGAGAGAGGGCATGAGTGGGAGAGGGTCAGAGAGAGAGGGAGACCACAGGCTCCAGGCTCTGAGCTGTCAGCACAGAGCCCTTTGTGGGACTTGAACCCATGAACCGTGAGATCATGACCTGAGCTGATGTCGGACGCTTAACCGACAGAGCCACCCAGGCGCCCCAAGATGATATTTTCATTAAAGGATGTGTAACATGAGTAATTTGGGGGATTGCACATTTGCCTGCTTCATTAACAAGCTGATTGTCTTACCTAGTTCAATTCAGAGTTCCTAATGTAACTTATGACCATGATTTTATCTGTGTAATACATTGTAAAGAATTTTGCTAGAATGAACCTTCGCAGTTGATTATAATGTTTGCAATACCACTATGTGATATTAAGGGTCATGTTGAACAATTTTTAAATTCCTAGTTGGAAAGAACTTTTTATCAGTTTAATATATTACTTTTGAAGTTTTTTTTTCAATTTAAACAAAAACTAGACCTCTTTTAGTTTATACATGCCAAGCAAAAATAATTGAATAAAGTGCAGTACTTGTGGTAATTTTAATAACAAGCAGTTTTGAAGATTATCTTCTAGAAAAAGAATTTTTATCGTAGTTGCGTTTTTATTTATTTTTTTGGTGCTTAGCGGAATGCTTGAAACTAGGCACTCAGCATGCTGAGTGGATATAGAAAAAAATATATGGACGAATAGCACGTTGCTATGCTCCTGGATTTTTTTTGGTTTTATTTCATGGTTTAACACCAGTAGGAAAGATGAAGATGAAGAGCTTCATCCTTGAATGTTTGTCAAACCGGGTAACTGAAGCACGCGTCTGGTCTGTGGAGAGCACGTCAGCATGTTTTCTTTCTTTCAGCTGTGCACATTGAGAAGATAATGTTGAAAGGAGTCCAGCGAAAAAGGGCTGACAAATACTGGGAGTACACCTTCAAAGTAAGCCCCTCTCGCCCCCGGCGGGCGTCTCTTGTGCCGTGTCACATGACCTTGTGGGAAAAATGAAAAGTGATCTTTGGAAAAACTTCTAGCGGGCTTGCTAATTTAGGAAGAAGCTGTACGTATACAGAAGTTTGTCTCCGTTAAGGGAAGGTGCTGTTTTCAGTAGGTACTGCATGGTTTGCCAAGTTTTTAATCGTATCACATTAAAATTGCTCTGATGATTGTATTCAAAATAAGTAAGAGCCTTTAATTTAAGGTGGAAGTTGTATCTTTAAAGGTAAAAGTAAACATTTTCACTAGTATTTTTTAAGTCAAGAGCACGGGCATGGTCTTTTCCTGGCACGGTTTTTCCCTGACATTTTTCTCCTCCTCTTTCTCCACGAAGGTTTTATTCCCTGGCCTTTGGTGCCTTGTCTTCTCATCTCTAACTGCTCTCCTGTCATTCTGCCCTTCAGACAGCTGTCGAATTAACCATAGAGTCTGCTCTGTCACTCCCCACACCTCCTCCTTGCCTGTCGCCTGTAATGTGGATTCCTTGTCCACATCTATCTTATTCTTCCCCGCTTGGGCTTCACTGTCTGGCCCTTTCTCCTGACGTTGGACTGAACGCCTTGAAGCCAGACGGACCGACGCCATGTTTCTGTGCTCCCTCATTTCAGTTCCTCCCCGAAGGTATTGCTTGCCACACTTTAGCTGTACCTTTGTCATGAAGTCCTTTCTGATCCTCCAGCAGAATGTGTTTCCGCTCATTCAAGGCATACTGCCATCATAAACTTTCTAGATTCTTCTATTTGGATTACGTGTTTTTCCTCTCGAGCTGGTTAGTATCCTGTGGAGAGCAAGAATCTTCATTCTCTGTCATCCCACTATACCTGACTTGCTTAGTATGTTTGGTGAATGAACTCTGTCTTCTGCTTTGTGGGAGACATAGCCTCAGTTTGCAAATTTTATATCCTTATCTCTGAATGTTTAACTTAACATTTTTGTAACATGTGGCGCAAGCCACTGCTCCCTCCGTTTAGTAACACTAGCTCTCCTTTTGTTGCTGGAGCTCTTAGCTTGTTCCTTCCTGAGAGCCTTCGTCCTCCCCAGCTCAGCTCTGGAACAGTCTTCCGCGGACCATGGCACAGCTCACGTGTCTTCAGCTCCTAGGCTGGCTCAAATGCTCCCTCCCGCGAGGTCTTTCTTGGCACCCTCTCCTGTGCCACCCTGCTCCTATACCACGCCCCATTCATGGGCTCTGGAGCCCTGATCCCTGATGGGAATTCTTACATCCTCACGTGTTGTTTTGGCCCTCACACGCTAGGCCCTGACCTCAGCCAGCAGAGAGACTTCGGCTGTCCTGTCCCCTCTTGTGTCCCTTTCACTCAGAACAGTGTCTTACATAAGTAGCTGCTCAACGAATGTTGAATAAGTAAAAAACATTTAAAAGATGTGCCAGTTAAGAATGATATTTGCTTTAAGGGTTGGTAGATACGATTTGGTATCTGTTCTTAAATATCTGATTAATCATGGTGTGATTACTTGATAAGACAGGTTATTTGCACAGTTCGAGTGTCTGCTTGGCTCAGATAATTGTAACATAGACATGGATGGTGGGCCACCATCAAGGCCATGGAATTGAGTACCTAAGAGGTAAAATGGCATAATAGATTGCAGTCTGGCTCTTCTGCTCACTTAGGGTCACGTCTAAGTACATTAACCATTTTGAGTTTTAGTTCCTCCATCTGAAAATGGAGGTAGTCAGATCAGCCCGCCCCCCCCCCCACTTTAATAGGATTTGAAAGAATTGAGATAAAGATGAAATCTCTTTATAAGCCATAAATCCCCATAAAAATACACTTTAGTACCTACCAAAGAAGAACAGTAAACTCTAGTTATTTCTCTGAAGAATTGATATAAGTTCCAGGAGGTACAATTTTAACCCTTCTTGGCCAATAGATTTATACCATCAAAGTGTCATCTTAGAGTCCTACAACTTCTCCCTTTTGAAAAATTACTAAAATACAATCATATTTTTAAAGACAACTTTTTAAAAAAAAAACATGTAATTTGAAAGGAATTATTAATAAGTTTTTTGAGTAGAATATGTCAATGTACAGTTAATTTTAATAGTTTTGAAGAAATTCTGACAATGCCAGGTTAACTTTATATTTCTAATTGTTAATTTCAATAAAATTTAAGTAAGGCCCTTTGTTTTATACATGGCTTTTTTTCAGCCGGTTCCCGCCTAAGAAATAACCATATAATATGTGTGTTTTTTTTAAATCAGGTAAATTGGTCTGATCTTTCAGTCACAACAGTAACAAAAACCCACCAAGAACTACAGGAATTTCTACTGAAGGTAAAAGTATAGATTTTGTTGTTAAAATGATTTTTATGTAATACATAGAATCTAAAAACCTCAGTATCAAAACAGACACCAGGCAGATTTAACCACACTATATAAAGGGTGGACTTAGTACTCTCCATTGCCTGTAGAAAATGTCATGTTATTCTAAACGTAAGTTTTCTTACATTACTGATATAAGGAAACCAAAGATTTTCCACATTAAAAAGAAATGGAACCTTATTCCGGGTCCTTGCCGAGGTAGAACTGTTAACGGTGGCTGCTTGCAAGGGCACTTCCTGCGCACGAGTGCAGGCTTGTTAGGATTTGTTGGGATTCTTAGACCTCACTGCTTGGCTCTTCGGCTCCCTCTGTGTGGATTTCTTTAAACATGTGTCCATTGATTGGTTCTTTGAGTTCCGGCTTCCCCCAGTGATTGGCTGTCCAGAGTATTGAGAATCAGGGATCGTGGAAACCTCTTATACAGACTTGTAGAAGTAAAAAAGGTATCTTAGGTCATTTTGTTCAGATTCTTGCCTGTTTCTTCGATGTTAATTTCATTTTATTGAAGTGTGTGTGGATAGAGCTAAATATAGAAGAGAGGAAACAGGCTTCAATGGTTAACCAGTACATTTACTATTTTACGATAAGCAAACAGATTTTAAAATTTGTCGCTAATAAGGAGGTAAAACAGAAAGTCCAGAAGGAGGGAAATTTTCCAACACAGTTACTAACTTTGGGGTCAAGGTGTCATGTAGTTTAATTATGTAGCTATTAAACTTCAAGTATTAAATTTTCAGGACAGTGCTGGTTTTTAAGTCGTGGGTCTCTATTCTTAAAGCTAAAAGACCCTCTTCATCCCCAGCCTGCAGAGCTGCGAGCAGAGTGGTAGGTGCTGGCTCTAAGGAGGACGTAGCTTGACGGACCGGGGGCAGCTTGAATATTTTCCTGCAGCTCATTTTAAACTGGGCCCCCTTGGTTCAGGGCTGAGAACTCCTGCTGCTTCTATAATGGTGACCTAAGTGCATATAAAGATGGGGGAGGGTCGTTAATTTCCGCCTGCCGAAGGTCATACTCTTGTGACAGCGTGTAGACAGCGTATGACAGCTTGTGGCGGCTGTAGACAGCGTGGTGAGGAAGGAGAGCGAGTGGTGGGAGGAGCAGGTGTGTGAGCACGGTCTTCACGGTAGAGGGGCAGCCGGCTCCCGGCTTGCAGTCTGCCTGTGGGAGGGCTGCCCTGCACCACGGCCACATGTGTGCTTACAGAATCTCTTCTCTTTATATCTGACTCGTCCATCTCAATAGAATAAATCTATCAAGGTTTAAGGGCAAGTAGTCGTGAACAGGTGTCATTTGGGTCAGAAAGCAACATGCTTCGTTTCTTCTTCTTGCGTTCCCCTTCCCATAACAATTCTAATGCTTGAGGGTAAGTTTGCAGGGATATAGAGCTAAGGCTGACCTGTCTTGCCGTGGGGGGGGGGGGGGCAGCGCTGCCGCCTGTCAAGGCCGGTTACCTCACGTGTTGGGGGGGGTTGGTGGTACCAGCCCGTCCTGAGTGGTGCTCAGCGACCTAAGGAGAGAGCACGTGACCGACTGCCAGCCTGGGGCCTGGCACCAAGCAGGGTCTCTCCTCTTGGGTTTCCCTAAGCTTCAGCTTGTTCTTTGTCTTGACAGATTTCATTTTTTCAATCCTGCGATTTTTCTGAAAGCTTAAGTGCTTAAAAAAAAAAAAAGACAGTCCCCAATAACTGATTCACTCTTCAGAATCATGGTTATGATCCTCCCAGTTAGCCAAGATTTGAATATAGAATTTTTCTAAAGTAAGACAGATGCCTCATCAAGTTATATGAAATAATTGGCAATGTTGTGTACTTCCAGAGACTAATTGCCTATCATAAAATATCCTCACAAGTCTACCATATCTCTTTCCTCCTTTTTTACCTTCCTTTTAAAATCATCTACAAAAGTTAAGAGCAAAAAGTGTCCTTTTGACAACCTATACGGACTAATAACCTTTAACTTTTGTAGATGCTGTTTAACTGCACTTACTGTTCGCTGTAATGTGGAAGAGTAAGTTTGAGGTCAGTGCTTTCCAGTCCCTTTTCCCTGTGTATGTGGCAGCCTTTGTCCTTGCATCCAAGCCCCCTTCCCCTGCTGCTGCTCAGAAACTGCATCTGACACCTGTCTGTTTCTCACTGCGAGAATGGTAGCTCCTGGACGAGCATTTGTTTCGTCTTCCACTGCTGTGGCCGCAGAGCCTAAAACGGTGCCCAGGGCAGGGTTGGGATTTGAATATGTGTTGATTGAAAGAATGAGTGGTGAATGAGAAGACTTAGAAAAAGTGAATTGTGATGGAGTTCTGTAGATGGTTCTCCATTAGGCCCTCCACGTTTTTAAAGAGAAGCTTGTAATGGAGCGGAGAAAGCCCTTCTGGCAGGCTGGGCTGGTGCAAGGCTGAGCTGGGGCCGGGAGCTGGGAGGCTGGGTCCTTGAAGGAAGACTGAGATGTGAGGAAATTCAGAAGGGACTAGAATAGAAGAGACATGATTTAAAGCTGTTTTTTTCTTTTAAGCAAACATGCCTTCCTCTAGGACTGGAAATAGTCCTTGGAAATTGAAGATAAAAACCACTTGAAAATAAAGCATTTTGCAAATACTGATGACTACATATCCGCACTCTGCCCAGTCAATGTGAACCGTCATTGACTAGGTGAAAATTATATACTCTTGCCTTCCTGCACTTAGAAGAACCATCGGTGATTAGATAGTGAAAATGGACTTCTCTGCTGAAGCTGGTTTTCTCGGGCTGTGTACAGATGTTCAGGAAATATGTTTAAAATGGGCAATATGAAATATGCTTGGTGTCCGTCATCTGTATTAAAATAGTATTAGGGTGTAAATATTGAGATTGTCATTTCTTTGGGAAATTTGTAGATGCAGAACTGGTTTCTTCCTGTTAGTGATCAGAGTACACGCTGTCCACAGTGGTGCATGGCCAGCAGCACCCTCAGCCTTACCTACCGTAAGGCTGGATGAAAGATCCAGGAAGAGCTTTCATTCTGACAAAACATCTTGACGCCATCGCCTCACTACCTAACATTAGTAATACTTGATGCTGTCATTGTTAACATTTTCATTTCGGAATCGTTGACTCAGAATGCTCATCTGTCAAAAGAATGCCTGCGTTGGGTTCTCCAGTTAAAGTTCAACATGCAGACTGACAATTTGTGTAGATTGTTCTGTTCCTGTAGCAGTTCGATACCATGTGAATGATTCTACTCTTAGTAGAACTCTTAGTGCCAGTGCCAGTGCCAGTAAGTCACTCATAGTCCATTGTAGAAACTATGGGAAGGCAAGTTTGAAACATCAGAAAGCTAAATTTATAAATCAGTTTATTAGGGATTTTAAAAAGCTAGTTAATAAATAGTATGACTTAAATTTTGTATTTATTTATTTATTTTAAATGTTTTATTTATTTCTAAGAGAGAGAGAGAGACAGTGTGAGCAGGGGAGGGTCAGAGAGAGAGGGAGTCACAGACTGAAACAGGCTCCAGGCTCTGAGCTGGCAGTCAGCACAGAGCCCGACTCGGGCCTCGAACCCACGAACCGCAAGATCATGACCTAAGCGAAAGTCGGGCGCTTAACTGACTAAGCCACCCAGGCGCCCCTTAAATTTTGTTTTTAAACAAAAACTTTCTTGGACCAGCAATGGTGTGTGTGTGTGTGTGTGTGTGTGTGTGTGTGTGTGTGTGTGGTTTCTGGTCCATTGCTCTGAGTGCACCTTCATCATGTTGAGGGAAAGGTTACTATCCCTTCAGTTAGTGCTTTTTATATAAGTAGGATTGAGAGTTTTTACCCAATCTTTCACACCCACTTCTTTCTTTGGTGCATAGCACTGGTGGTCTGACGTTGCCTGGGATTCAGATGTGAAATAGGAGGCACTAAGGTGATAACTGTAAATGCAAGGATAACACTTCACAGAATACTATTTGAAGACTAAAATAATTGTAGCTACTCTATGCAGAATGTTCCATTTAACTAAAGAACCTTGGTGTGGGTGTTATTTTTGTGTGGCATGTGGAGCTTAGAATGTGAGAGGCATGCAGGCGTGTCCCAGAAGCACACTGAAAGCTGCCAGGGTTATTCTGCACACAGGTTATCCACAGATCCCTGACGTGCGCCCAGAAGGCAGAAGACCCTTTCCTAGTAGAAAGGTCTATGCTGCTTCAGTATGGGGCCTATGTCACAGAGATTTAGAGAGGAGCTACTTTGGGATGATTGCTCTCTGAGCGAGAGATACTAGTCTTCCCTTTATGTCTCTGGTTTGTGACATACTTAGCAGTAAGTGAGAAACTTAACCTTGGCCTTGCCCTTTTTCTTTTCTAGCTCCCAAAGGAAGTGTCTTCGGAGAACTTTGACAAGACCATCTTAAGAGCCCTGAATCAGGGTTCATTGAAAAGGGAAGAACGGCGACATCCTGACCTAGAGCCCATCCTAAGGTAACAAGTTTACCTGATGCTGTCACCACAGCGTCACAGACAGGTTCATGGGCAGCGGAAGACTTAGAATGGAGTGTAAGGGAGAGGACAAGAGATTTTTTTCTGTGGAGTACTTTTTAAAATGGACTTTTTATCCATGTGTTATTTAGGTCTAGAAATCGCAAGCTAATTACTTTTATCATTGGACTCGTCGGCTCTCTGATATCAGGAACAATTGCTTCTAAAATCTGCAGACATACAGGGAACCTCCTGTTTTCTCCATAAAATATTTATTGAAAGGGTTCCTTGTCCAAGTGCTCAGCTCGGCAGATGTTTTTTGGTTTAAGTTGTCAGGTACGGAAGATCAGGCTGACAGGTTGGAAAGTGAAGGGAGACGACCACTTCCTGCCTGTCTGCTGGGCAGCAAGCTTACGGTGGCGGCTCAGCCCGGTGGCGCTGTGCATATGCGCTGGCTGGGGCCCGGGGGTGGGTCGGTCCCCAGGGCACCCGGCCTGTCCGGTCATGAGGGGGAGGTGAAGACTCTAGCAAGCGCAGCAATGGTGGCGCAAGGTCCTGTGCAGCCAGGACGGGTGTGGATGTGGGTAAATGTACTTGTTTCATGATGGGAAGTTGAAGGAGCTCTTGCCAGATGGCTTGTATTTTTTTTTCCTAAAGTAAGAATCTGCTTAAGAGTGGATATATGGTAGGGGGGAGTGCAGGGGGCGGGGGAGAGCAGAAGCGACTTAAACGGTGGTTGTGTGGGGGTGTGAGGAACAGCCCGATAACGTGAACCCCGTAAGGCGGCCAGGCTTGGAGCCCACTGAGTAGCAGTAAGTGATCGTGGTATCGGTCTGTCCTGCCGTGTGGATTTTTAAAACATCTTGCCAGCAGTTCAGGTTCAAGTGTTAGGAAAGCATGTGGTTGGATAAGGATGTTCTTGGATGCGATGAAAGGGCAGGTGAGGCAGGGGAACTTAGGGAAGATTGAGGATTTTAACAATGGGCACGTTCACAGAGTGGAGATCGGGGAGTCTGACGGTAGAGTGAGGCACTGCTGGAGAGGAGGCGTCGGGGGTAAGGAAGGAAGCGGGCAGATGGAATCTAGTTGAAATTAGCACGAAGTGTCTGGGTTGGGGGGTTCTGAGGTAAAGGAGTCCCCAGAGATTGTGAGAGGTCTGGGGTGTGGTCCCTCTAGTTGTTGGTAATTGTTGTGCTCGCCTCTCTGAGGGCTTCCCTTTAGGAGAGAGAAATTAAGGAGTAATGGCCAAGGAAGCAAATGCTGTTTTATTGGAAACTTAACAGTTATTAGTAAGTAAAATAAGCAAAAGCAGCGCTGGAACACGTATGGCTTCGAGTCCGGGCTGGGGTGGGACTTGCTGTCTGCCCTCTGGCTGCCAGTGAAGCAGCCTTGCTGAGGCGGAGGTGAGCAGATGGGTGTCTGTTCAGTGTAGCGGCCCTCCAGCTCCGACGGGGGGGGGACCCAGTGAGCCTTCTCAGGATGGGGTGGGGCTGGGAAGAAGGGGTGAGTGCTCCTCGATGGAGGGAAGCCGGAATCTGGGAAGGAGAGCGTGTTCATTGTGTGACAAGATCTAGGATGTGCATGTGGAAGTGACTAGAATAAGAGAGAGGATGGAAGAAGTGACTAGGGCAAGGCAGCCAAGCACAGAGCTCCAACGGTTTGCTGGTCGCCCACGTGGGGTTTGAAGTCCCGCAGGGAATACTGGGGGTGGGGGAGCCAGGCAGGGGCCAGGCTGAGAGCGAGTGTGGAAACACGACCGGAAGGTAGGTGCGTGAGGACAGCCAGACCCCAGGGCTGGCGCGAGTTTAGTCTCAGTAGGGAGGTGCAGATCTGTTCGCTGAAGAGCCGGGATCTGTGGGGCCTGTCAGAGGGCGCGGCAGGAAGGTTCAGAGGAAGCACGGGAGCAGTAGCGGGCGGGCACAGCTTGCCGGCCCTGAGGCCCTGAGACCGGTGAGGGTGGGAGAGGACGGCGAGGAGGAGTGGGTTGAGTTCCCGGGTCTCCGGTGCTGCCCAGAAGGCACGGGCTTATGCGTCCCTGGGGACGTGGAGACGGTGCAGGTTTGTGTTCCCGAGTCCCGCCTGGGCACTGCCCTGGGGTTCCCGTGGGTGCCGGAGACGCGAGCCGTCAGCGTGTGGGGCGCACGTGGAGTAGCAGGCCTTGCCGGGTGGCGAGCGCTCCGGCCCGTGCCTCTGACGGGGCTCCGGGGGAGCTTCTGCAGCTGTGACCCTCGG